CTTGCGGTTTTGGGTTGCAATCGATCATTCTGGGTTTCTTGTAACCAGTCACTCTTTTTTGAGGCTTGGGTTTTTTCTGCTCCTGCTCCTGCTCCTGCTCCTGCTCCTGCTCCTGCTCCTGCTCCTGCTCCTGCTCTGCTACTGCGCTCTACAGGTGGACAAGCCAAGGGAACTATGGTTTAGTGTGTGGGGATTGTAGGATTCGATCAATGCTTGGCTTCCCGAAAGTGCCGCAAATGGTCAAGTTTTGAGGTTACGGTCTTTGGTCTGTGTCCTCCTGAAACTTGAAACCTTAAACCTTACCGTGTAGGGTTTAGGGTTTAGAGTTTGGGGCTTAGGGTGTTTTAAGAGGCATGTTGAACATTTGGTGTTTGGCAGCTAGTTGCTACCGCATGTTGGGGGTTGTTTGGGGTCGAAGGGTTGTGCCGATTCCTAGGCTTCAACCAGGCTGGAGCAACACTGAGACTTAATAATCGGAAACCCCAATTGCTTGGGCCATTTTGGGCCCATGTGATGTTTTGGTTTGCAGCTGTCCAGCAAGGTGAGTTTAGGATTTAGCGAGGTTTGCTTGTGGCAGCGCGCACACATCAATCACGCACTGCAGACCAGGTGTGGTGCCATGCAGGCCACAATTCTCAAGACATTGCAGTCTCGGAGGCTACAGAGCCCCCGAGCCAGCTACGCAGGCTTTCAGATAAAATGTTCGCAGCCGCGTGAAAGAGCACTACCGCCGGTCGTGCTCATGGACAATACTTGAAAGGTGAGCCAAATCGCTGACATGGAGGGCTTTATGTAGAGACCCTTTGAACAATCGGCTTGTGGGTGTTGCGATGTCGAGTTAAGGGCTATTGTTGTGCTTCATGCATGTTTGGTATTGCCAAGTTGGGTTTTAGGACTTCAATGGGATGTGCGAGGAAGCTCAGGCGTCTGGTGATCGTGTGGAAGTTGCGGACTTGAAGGTTTTTCTCATGGTTGGGAGTTCCATGGGTTGTCTTTAGGCTCCCCCAAATCCAGCTTTGATTGTGCACTCCTCCTTCCAGCGATAAGTCCGAAGTTTACCACCGCCTCGCAGCCAACAGGCATCCTGACTGCCGGCTGATTTGGCACCGCCAGGCGGGTAGAGCTGGGCTCGGTGCTTGAAGAGTCAAGATTAATCTCTATGTGGAGTCCTCATGCCCTTGAAGCCCGCCTGACGTCTCTGCACACTCAACCATAAACCCCAAACACTCAAGTCCTGAACCGCTGGCTCGACCCCACAGAGCGGGAGGAACAGGCATCCACTCTGACCGGCGCCACGAGCGCCACCACTGCAATCACCGGGACGGTAAGCAACCCCAAAAATAGATACCGTGTAAGTACTTAAACTTTTGATAAGGCCATTGTAACACCTTAAATGCATTAAACCTTTCCATCTTCAGCTTATAAGACTCCCGTATATACACTGACTGAGTACCCTAAACCCTTTGTTAAAACCGATGTCGATAACACTCCTCTAGATTCCCTAAACCCTAAACCCTAAACCCTAAACCCTTAACCCTAAACCCTGAGCTCCATGCAGGTTGGAGCTTCCGACAGCAAGGTGGTTCTGGCCACGCAGCTCTCGTCGGATCGCCTGGCGGCTCTAGAGTTCGGGGTTGAAGGCTTAGGGTTTCGAGATTGGGGTTTAGGGTATAGAGTTTAGG